TTATTTCCATGCGGAGGTGATTACCATCACGAGGACCATAAGGCGTGAGCTCCAGGAGCAATCCACTATCCCATGCGGAGGTGAAAACCACACGAGGGCATAGTTTCTCACAACTACTTAATTTGGACGGAGCGGGGTTTTAGCTCATGTCATGAAAATGCAGCTGTGTAGTGTGTGAGGGAAAGCGAAAAACAAACAATAAAAACACTCAAAATCAAATCCCAAAACACATAATTATTCTGGAACCATTAGAAAACAGATCAGTACAACTATTTAATTGTTAATCGAATTAAATTAAAAAACCAAAATACAAACAAAACTTATTAAAAACCAAACAAGGGATCAAAAACCAAATTAAAACGAATTTATAACTTTCAATTGCAAAGACAATTAATTAATCGACTATCGGCCTGACTCTCTAAAAAAAGATCCCCAGCAGAGTCGCCAAAACTGTCGAAACGATTTTTCTTAAAGGTGAAAAAGTGAAATTTTAAAAACCACATTAATTCTTCTTTTTAATTAAAAAACAAAATACGATTTAAAAGACCTCTCGTTTCGAAAAATTTTGGATTTCTTTTACGATCGAAAAAAAACGGTTCAAAGAGTCGCCACCAATCTTTGATTAGGATGGGATTGGGCACCCAAAAATGTTTGTTATTTTAAATAAAAAATAATTTTAATTAAAACAACAAATTAAGGTCCGCGTTACCAAAATCTGAGTTCGGGAGTCGGTTATATGTAGGGGAAGGATTAGCACCCCCACAACGCCCTAAAACGGTACCTAGTCGATTAATTAGCGTCTTTGCAATGAACTTCACAAATTCAAATTCAATTTGATTTTTGATCCCATAAAACAAAGATGTAAATTTAAAAACATTCAAAAGCACTCAAATAAATTAAATTAAAATTACCGAGTCATTTTAGAAAGATAAAGAATGTTCAATTATTTACAAATATCGAGACCAGATCTTAAAAGTTATAACAACCTTTTCTCGATAAATTTAAATAAACGAACATTTTCTTTTCTTTCATTCCCAAATTTTAGGTGACGAATCAATTTTTTTGGTTTCACTTTCGGAACACACTTTTAATTTAAAATAGTCAAAACGGCTCTCTAATCAGTTAAGACAAGCCACTCAAGACAATTTTAAATTAAAAGGGTATTACCCTTAGTCCGATTATGTAATATGTCGAGTTATACAAATGAGGTTTTCATACATATTATACAAAACGGGTATCATGTAATTAACAATATTAATATACACAGAAATAGGGCAACTATCGCATAAAATAAAATATTCGCACAACTTGCATATGTTTTTAGTAAAATAATATGATTTCACCCTTAATTATAACATACAATACATGCCCAATTAATATTTATAAAATAATAAATCATGTTTACAAAATAATAACTTAAATGGCCTATATGCATAGCATCGTAACATGGTATAATGAAACTACATGTATCCTATATATTTATACATAATGCAATAAAATATACAACGTAATATGATACAAGTTGAATATATGTATACGTAAATATTCATATATACAAAGGGGTTAACTTACATGCTTAAACAGGAAAAAAAACAGTGATTAAAACACAATAATAACAAATTTAAGGGAAGTAACCAGCATACTAAACAAATACAAGCTACTTTAACATGAAGGATGGGTAACTCGGATCCTAAATTGCTAATAAACCATAAGCATGCATAAGACTGATATATAAAAAAAAACTTAAAACAACATACCAAATACGTGAATAGTATGAAGTACAAACAAATAAACTAAATGGACTAAAACCTAATTTACCTCTAAGATTCGGTGACCAAGAAATGATTAATCCAAAATTCCTAATATATATATTAAACTAAACCTAATATTAAAATAAACCTAACTATAAACAAAACTAATAGCTGTTCCTCACTTCTTTCTTCCTCTGGTTTTTCAACACTCTTTGCACGCAGCCGTGGACTTCAACAGCTACCTCCCAACGCCACCGCTCCGATTGTCCGATGATGGCTATCGAAAGGACTAAGTAAAAACCTAAACTCTCTCATATTTCTCTTCCTCCTCAAATCCCATCCATATTTATTTTCTTTCTTAGCCGAGAGTCCTAATGGCCCCCGATTCTCACCAGTTAAGAAAACCTCTCCGATGACCACCCTCAACAGTGACTCTCTACTTCTCCGGTGACCTAATGAGACCAAAGTTCTTACTCCGGTGAAGACCCAAACACATCAAGGTAAGTTAGACCAAAACTTTCTTTTAACCTCACTCTTCAATTTTAAAATCCCGACCTAGAAACTAACTATTAACCCACATGCAAGGTTTCTCGAACAACTATCCATGCTTCAGTGTTAATCCCAGTTACTCAAATCGGTAAGCTTCTAACCCTTGTTTTCTTTTTAATACAAATACCACACACGTATACGAATAGTTACTAGAAAGTAAATAAAATAAGATAAAAATACCTCCTTGTTAATGCTTTCTGTTTTTGGTTGTTTTTGCTTGAGAAAATTCTATTGCCCTTTTGAATGATTGATGTTTTCCTTTGAATGGGACCATGAAATTAGAAAAGAAAAAAATTGTTTCCTTTTTATTGCTTCAAAAATGGTTAACCAGAAATTTTTACAAATTGTTCTTTCTCCTTTTCGTCCTGTCTGTGTTCTCCTCTCCCCCTCAAATGCTCCCCCCCCTGATAATTGATAATCCCCCGTATATAAAAAAAACTGCTAAAAACCACCGTTAACCTCTCTCTTTTCCTCTGCAATCAACTGTCGTCCATTGGGCTTGAGTTGGGCCTGCAACTGGTTCAAGGTCGGGTTAGGTTACGATTGCTTCGAGTCTGCTCCGACTCGGCCCTGGATAAAAACGAGCATCTACAATATTGATTATGGGAGTGATATATCGTGAACGAATTGAATTTTTTACATGTTTTGGAAATTTTACAGTTGAATTGTATTAAATTATAGCTTTAGAAGACAAGTCTGCACACACGCAACTCGAAAGGCATCATGACATGGTAGTATATTTGGAGCAACTACTTGACCCTGTCATGATGCCTTTCGAGTTGCGAAAGAGACTTAGAGGTGAATGCGTTGTTTGGGATTTCATTATATTTAATCATCTGTTCGAAAATCTTTAACTACAAGGATTAAACAAAATAAATTATTATATGCTATTTATATAAAATAATTCCAACTTTGTTTGTGACTTTTAACAATGATACTTAGTTCATCTTAGTAGTATTTGTCAACTCTGCATTTCTGACCCCATTTTTTTCTCACAAGCATTTCATTGAACATCTATGTTTCACTTGAGATGACTTGTATCTAACATTACACCTTGAATCGTTGATGGTCCCGATAATCCCTTGGTCGGGTCTTCTCTCAATGGACCCTTATTCAAGTCAAAACCTACACATATTTTAAAGTTATATTAGAATTTTCCATGCATCCCCGACTGAAAAGTTACGTTGGAAATGAGAAGAGAGAAGCGAAAAGTTAAATTCGTGATCGAAAATAAATTTGGGGTTTAGAATGAAATTAAAGACTGTGTTGCAAGTTTTAAAAGTTAGGGGACCTAAATGCAAGCGCTTGAAAAGTTCAGTGACCATATTGCAAACGTACTAACGACAGTGTAACGGCGTCAAACAGCCGGTTACGTCGGGGACCATATTGCAAACGGACTAAATGTTGGGGGACTGTATTGCAATCATACTAAATGTTGGGGGACTGTATTGCAAATTTTAAAAGTTAGAGGACCTAAATGAAAGATTTAAAAAAATTCAATGACCATTACTATACTTTATCCTTAAAAATTAAATATAAGTTTTATTCTGAATTTCATTCTTTTAATTCAAAAATCGAGATACTACTCTCTATAATTTAGTTTATCGTACACTTCTTTTATAACTGAACCGTTAATCTAGTTTTTTAAACACAAACTTGAACTGTTAATTTTTTGTTCATTTCTCACACAGAAACTATTGAACTATTGTTTTTGTTAATTCCTTACTTACAAGAATCAAACGAATTAAAAATCGATAGTATGATGATCAATTGAATTGATCAAATAAAATTTAAAAATATATACTAAATCACTAGTATTTAATTCATGGAATCGATTAATCTGTATTAAATAATATATAAACTTATTACGAGAATAATTATTTTAATTTAGTTTATTCTATTCACATTATCAAAGTATGAAGCCTTAATTTTTCTATAAAATCTAATAAAATAAATTAATTAATTCGTATCAAATTTTATAAAATTTCATTATAAAATTTCATTCTTAAAAGTAAAAATTTTTGAATTTATGATGTTTGATTAAAAACGACAACTTTGTATTTTGCACCATAAGAAAAACGCATGGCTCATATTTAATCTACATTATTCAATATTCTTTATTTATGAGGTTGTCCATTGATATTTTGATGTCTTGTCTTCTCTTATCATTATTCATTTTCATACTCCGTATCCTCTACTATGACAATTCTCTCATATCTACTAAAGTGGTTCTTACATAATCCCATATCAATTTCCTAAAGCTCTACCTTTCACATGTATTTGTTTGGATAAATTTTGCGATTAATTCGGAATAAATCTATTTTTGAAACTTTAAATTCGAAATTTTATGTAAAAAATATATATTTTTATGGTGCTGTAATTCATTTTAATGAAAAAAAGAGATGAGAGAATGTGAACGAAGGAACCTTTACAGGACAGAGAGAAACATAATGGGTCTTAATTGACAGAAGTTGACGTGAGATGAGAGTGATGGTGTACTTGTACGATAATAGTAGCCCAAGATGTATTTTAAGACATGTTTAAACAAGAACAAATCTTGGTTAAGGAAACTGATAACAGATAATTAATTATATTAATTATGTTTTTAAGAGATAAAATGAACCCGGGAATGGAGAAGATCGTGTGGTGAGTTTTATTAAAGCACTGTAGTGGTGATAAAGTTGCTTCTTACAAAATTACCATGCTTTTGCTTGTACTAAATTTTCTTACAACTTTTCACAGAAAAAAATGGAGGCCTGGAGTGGAGAAAGAACAAGACCGGCCAAGCAACAAAAACCCAACACTGCTTTGTCTTCATCAGCTGCGAGTAACTTGAAACCCATGGATAAAGGCAAGGTCATTGCTCAGTACAATGCGGATGCTGGTCTCATGGCCGAGTTTGAGCAATCTGTTGTTTCTGGTAAGTCCTTTAACTATTCAAAATCAGTTCTTTGTGCTCCGCAAAGTGTGCCCGATGAACAAGTGACGGCTTATCTGTCGAGAATCCAAAGGGGTGGTCTGGTTCAGCCCTTTGGTTGTATGATTGCTATTGAAGAACCCAGTTTTGGGATCATTGGCTATAGTGAGAATTGCTTTGAGTTGTTGGGTTTGCGTTTGGATAGCGAGGATGAGTCTAAAGGGTTGAAGGGTTTGATTGGGATCGATGCGAAAAGCCTCTTCACGCCTGCATCAGGTGCTTCCTTGGCTAAAGCGGCGGCATCGAGGGAGATTTCGTTGTTGAATCCGATTTCGGTTTATTCTAGGAGCAACCAGAAGCCTTTTTATGCTATATTGCATAGGATTGATGTGGGGATTGTGATCGATTTAGAGCCTGCGCGGTTAGGTGATCATGCACTGTCGCTTTCCGGTGCCGTGCACTCGCAGAAACTCGCCGTTCAGGCAATTGCCAGGTTGCAGTCGCTTCCTGGTGGTGATATCGGTGTGTTGTGTGATACGGTTGTGGAGGATGTTCAGAAACTTACCGGCTATGACAGGGTTATGGTGTACAAGTTCCATGATGATGGTCACGGTGAAGTCGTGTCGGAAATCAGGAGGTCGAATTTGGAGCCGTACTTGGGTTTGCATTATCCTGCAACGGATATACCTCAAGCCACTCGCTTCTTGTTCAAGCAGAATCGTGTGAGGATGATCTGCGATTGCCATGCGAGTCCAGTTAAGGTCATTCAAAGTGATGAGTTGAAGCAGCATCTCTGCTTGGTGAATTCAACCCTTAGGTCTCCCATGGATGTCACACAGTACATGGCAAATATGGGCTCGACCGCCTCGTTAGTAATGGCAGTCGTTATAAATGGCAACGATTCGACGAAGCTTTGGGGACTGGTTGTCTGTCACCATAGTTCTCCACGCTATGTGCCTTTCCCGCTTCGTTATGCCTGTGAATTTCTTATGCAGGCATTTGGAATGCAGCTATACATGGAACTCCAATTAGCATCACAACTAACCGAGAAGAAGATTCTAAGGACTCAAACCTTACTCTGTGATATGCTGCTCCGTGATGCCCCGTTTGGTATCGTGACACAATCGCCTAATATCATGGACCTTGTGAAGTGTGATGGGCTGCACTGTACTACGGAGGAAAATGTTGGTTGCTAGGTGTGACTCCAACCAAGTCACAGGTAAAAGATATAGCTGAATGGCTGCTCACCACTCATGAGGATTCTACTGGATTGAGTACCGATAGTTTGGCCGACGCTGGCTACCCCAGTGCTGCTTTACTGGGTGATGCAGTTTGTGGCATGGCTACTGCCCGAATCATTTCCAAGGATTTCTTGTTCTGGTTCAGGTCTCATACTGCAAAGGAAGTGAAATGGGGAGGAGCCAAGCATCACCCGGAAGACAAGGATGATGGTGGAAGAATGCATCCGAGATCCTCGTTTAATGCTTTTCTTGAAGTGGTGAAAAGTAGAAGTTTGCCTTGGGAGATTCCAGAAATTAATGCTATTCACTCTTTACAGCTTATAATGAGACATTCATTTCAAAACATGGAAGAGAGTGTCTCCAAGGTGTTAGTTTATGGCCAGCAGAATGAAACCGAGATGCAGGGAATCAATGAACTCAGCTCAGTGACACACGAAATGGTTAGATTGATTGAGACTGGAACAGCTCCAGTATTTGGAGTTGATGCAGCTGGTCTCATAAATGGTTGGAATGCAAAAATCACGGAGTTGACAGGTTTACAAGCCGATGATGCACTCGGGAAATCCCTGGTCGATGAAGTTGTTCATGAAGATTCACATGACCTGTTTAAGAATCTCCTAGGAAGAGCTTTGCAAGGTAATCTCAAACATAGTTCTGCACTTGTTTTTTCTTTCATATTTGATATGATGTACAGTGTGCATTTGCTGTCCTTGCTTTTTCAAAATATCTTCAAACTTATTTACATGTTTCAAATGATATGGTATCTCATTTTTGCCTAATAAAATCCAGGTGAGGAGGACAAGAATGTCGAGTTAAAGCTCAGAAATTTCGGGCTTCATCCAAAGAACTCAGTTGTTTATATCGTGGTGAACGCCTGCACAAGCAGGGATTACACAAATGATGTCGTTGGTGTGTGTTTTGTGGGTCAAGATGTTACTTCTGAGAGAGTTGTGATGGATAAATTCATCCGTTTGCAAGGAGATTACAGAGCTATCGTACAAAGTCTTAGCCCTTTGATACCTCCAACATTTGCTTCAGATGAGAACGCCTGCTGTTCCGAATGGAATGCGGCCATGGAAAAACTGACTGGTTGCAACAGAAGTGAGGTCATAGGTAAAATGCTGGCAGGAGAAATCTTTGGTGGTTTATGTCAGCTCAAAAGTCAGGACTCAATGACTAGATTCATGATCCTGCTGTATCAAGGAATAAGCGGCTTGGATGCCAAAAAGCTCCCATTCGGATTTTTTGATAGAAAAGGAAATTTTGTGGAGGTTTACTTAACAGCAAACAAGCGGACTGATGCCAATGGGAACATAATTGGTTGTTTCTACTTCTTACAGGTCACTGAGCCTGGCATGCAGCAGGCTAGTGAACACAAGCAAGAGAACAAGGAGTTGTTTAAGAAACTCAAGCACTTGGTTTACATGCGACAAGAGATGAGAAATCCTCTGAACGGTATTAGATTTACACATAAACTTCTTGAAACTACACCTATTTCCGAAAACCAGAAGCAATTCCTCGAGACCAGCGATGCTTGCGAAAGACAGATCTTGACAATAATTGAGGATATGGACTCGGGAAGCATTGATGAAGGGTAAGTCTCAATTTAGTTCCATGATCTGCAGGATTCGACCCTTGAAGTCTCAAGTCTCAACATTACTTCAGTTTGTTTGTTTTGCTAGTATCTACGAGAAACTATCAACGAGAGATTATGTTTTCCCCCTGATTTGAAGAGTACCGTAATACATACTGATGTCTAAATTGTTTGCAGGAGCACAGAGCTAAGCATGGAAGAATTCGTTTTAGGGAATGTTCTTGACACCGTCGTCAGTCAAATCATGATTTTGCTAAAAGAAAGGAACTTACAACTTCTCCATGAAACTCCGAAGGAAATCAAAACACTATCCCTATACGGTGATCGAATTAGGCTCCAGCTAGTCCTATCGGATTTCCTGTTTAATGTGGTGCATCATGCTTCTTCTCTGGGTGGATGGGTAGAACTCAAGATTTCACCCGGTATAAAGCTAGTACGAGATGGCAACGAGTTTGTTCGATTACAATTCAGGTAAACATACAGTTTATCTCGGTTTTTGCTATTGCTTTGTTCCTTAGTCTATCAGAAGGTACTCTGTGAGTAATGGTGTCATTTTCCATGTTCCTATAGGATGATTCACCCAGGTAAAGGCCTTCCTTTCACTCTTATTCAAGAAATGAACGAGGGCGGAAATAGTTGGACGACACAGGAAGGACTAGGGCTGAACATGTCGCGGAAGCTTCTGAACAAGATGAATGGACGAGTTCAGTATGTCCAGGAACATAACAGAAGTTACTTCCTCATTGATCTCGAAATCCGAACGAGGAAAGGAAGACTAAAAGCACCACAAGCAAAATAATGATCTCTTATGCATATATATACTTCTTTGTTAGTATAAAGGGAAATGGAGAGAAGCTGCTGGGATTTGCTAAACCCCGAGTGATTTATGAAATAATGACTGCAATGTAAAATAATTAACCTGTGTTCATATCTGTAAAATCTACTTAAATTTTTTGCCAGCACCATAAATCCTGGATATGATATATAAAATACATGTAATGATAAATAATTGGCACATTCAATCTACAAGGACATTCTATGACTCGAATTTTGTTTCATCTGAATCGAAAAGTTCGAATTTATGTGATAAACAAACATTGTCAATTACATTCATGGCATAAGAGAACCAAATTATGTGATAAACAAAAACGAAGTCTGTATTCCGAACTATACAATTTTTCTGTTAATGGCACTAATGTTACACCCTAGCCATCAAAACCTCAACTCCCACTACGCATGTTCCATTTTGAAACATCGAAAATGGAACCCCAAAATAGAGAGGAGAAAGGCAGAACAATGATGCAGAACCCTACATCTTCTCAAATGCGTTTCGAAGTTCAAAATGCTCAGCTAGCTTCCAAGAGTCTTTTAAGACTACACAAAATCTGCCTCCCGTAAATAGCGGATTCACCTCTTCCTATACTTTTATCGTCAACTATGTACAAATAAGTTAGCCTTCAATGCCCCACTATGAATTTGGTACAAGGGCAATCTCCTGATTCTAGGCTGTTAAAACATTTCATGCTCCTCGCCAGCATCTTTCTTTTTGGGGCTACCAGAAGTATCACCCGAGGGCAGCCCGTTTGGCTGGCTTATGATATTCAAACTAGAGTGCAAGTGCTCTAGAATTCCCTACAAGAAAAGGAAAAAGAATGGTCATTGTTACTATGAAAATCAACTCTTTAATAAAAAGATGGCATCTGATACTTGGATTAAAAAAGGTCAAATTAAATCAGCCATTGTAAGTACTTGGGAACTAATAGTAATGCTACCTGATCACCACCATCTGGCCCCTCAGAGTGAAAGAGAATGGGGCGGCAGCGCTTATCTTCATTCATCAAGCTTGAATTCTGGAAGTGGGCAACAAGAGCCGCTTTTCCCTGGATTCGAGCATATGCCAAAGAAGCAACTTTCTCACTATTAAACTTCTCCCACTTCTTTCCATTAAATGCCTGCATAGGGTAGGTTAACATAAATCCAAAGAGAACATTCCAAGGCATCAGTAACAAGCTTGCCCTTCCCTTTGATGATAAGCACAAGTTTTCTTAAAAAGTTAAATTAAACTGCTAAGTTAAAAAAATGTAACCTCATAAAATGGTATAATGTGTGAAGGAGACAGCATATTGATAAAGGCATAGCCCACATTGCACTTATTCTGCATCATAAAAGAGAATATCATCAGTGGCAATTGAACTTAAAAAATAAATGGTCTAAACTGCAAATTAGAACCCCAAAGAAATTACCTTAAAATCTATGGGCAAATAGAGGAAATCATAAGTACCCTGGTGACTTTCATCAATGGCAGCCAACAACATCTTTGAGGTATATCTGAGGATCATAATGAAATAGAAGTTGTCAGGTAAAGGCATCAATACTTCAAACATATCGGCATGTATTAAATATTCATAAACCAGAAGATTATAGAGGATGGACCGACTTATTTGGAATATTTTTTATCATCAGGGTTGTTCGAGTATCTTCTCCACTGATAATTTTATCCAGGTCCAGCTGAAATTGCATTTTATTATCCAACTGGTTCCGGTTATTTTCAACACGTCTTCTCCGGCCAAACTCAGCCAACCCATCCATACTGTTGGGAAGTAGTCCTGGGTATAGGTCATTGCCTAAGAATACAGGACTCAACCTAGGTGAAGACATCATTCTCATACTTGACGAACCATTCTCAGATGCATTCCGTGGAATGCCAATACCTGAACTCATTGCAGCATGAGAACCCATATTAACCATAAAACCTCCATCATTGTGGCCTACACCCAAGCCCCCAAATGTAGCAGGACTCATGAATGAAGTATCTGATGATTCTGGGAAGAAACCAAAGTGCCTTTCCAGCGGAACACCAGAGGTAGCAGAACCGATGTGATGATGTTGGAGGTGTTGGGATGTGCCTGAGAAAGATCCTTGCCGACCCGAGTATGGAAAGCCATGGCCGTTTCCGTTAGATGAAAATGGGCGTTCCAAAGATGAGGTTGGCCAGACTGAAGAATTTGTGCGATCTGTAAATGAATTTGTATTTCCCCAAAGAAACTGTGGCCCAGACAATTTTTCCATCCTAGAACCATTTGACGGACTGAAAGTAGGTATGGTTCCATGGTATTGGCTCAACTTTGACTCTGGCAAAGAGTGAGAAAATTGAAACCCAGTTCCATGGGTTGAATTTGTACCGGCTAATGCATGCTCTACAAGACTACCCCTTGCTTGGTCCTTTCCAATTGGTGCAACTTTCATTGAGTTTGACACTTGAGGATGCAGGATAGAAGCCAGGCCAGATAAATGGTTGCTGGTTGTTGGGCTCATGGTCCCCAAAACAGGGGACTTACTAAGAGAATGCATTGGACTACGCTCTATAGAACTGTTAAACTGTGCCCAGCTACCTGTTAGGAAAATTGCAATATACTCAATTTACAAAATATATACTAGACAATCAAACCTTATGCACACAAATAATAGAATGTAGCTCAAACAGCCCTACCTGGAGGAGAATTGGCCATCGGGGAACCAACTGGATGTCTGAAACTCCAAGATTCATCTTGTTCAAGCTCTTGATTCAGATGCAACATCAAGCTACAAGTTGAAAAAGATGACCAGTGAAAATTTTCCATTATTGTTATACTTCCGAAAACAACAAAGCATGAAATCATACAAACAAATTCTGACAGAAACACATAATGAAGAATTTTTTTTAAAAATTAAAAAGAAAAAAAATAGAAAAAGTTTGACAAAGTCTAGCATGCAGCAGCCAAGAGAAAGGATCCATCTATCTATATTCCCACAAGGACACAATTGCAGTAGTTCTCAACATTTGTGTACACATTCTACACTATTTTACCATTTCCAGTTAATATCAATGCATATGCATACGCATTATAAGTGTGAGCTACTGAAAAACTGCATGCACAGGCAGAAATTGATTAGCTTTCATGCCCGAAGAGAAAATAGCAAAACATTATCAGGTCACATTCAAAACAAGGCACATCCCAATGCTATCATAGTGGCAAAACCCACTGGAAAAAACTTCTTTTCTGAGGAAAAACAAGATTCATCAAATAAATACAATTTTATACATTAATACTAAAAGAAGAATCAGGTTTAAGATATACACACTTGCGACGAGTTCCTCCAGGGCGACTAGGCTCAAGCTTAATACGTTTACCAGCTATATCACTTCTATTGAGCGACTTCAGAGCTTGTTCCGCAGCTCTAACATCATAGAATTCAATGAACTTATGGTGTCGCTTGTACGGCGTTTCCCGTATCTGCTTTTACGTAATGAAAAGTCTACTTCAGAAATGCTGAACACACAGTCTCAAGTAAAAAAGCAAGGAAACATTTTGAAAAAAGAAAAGGACAAAAAAATCACCTCTTTAACCTCGCCATAAACCCCAAATATTTGACAAAGATCTTCATTTGAAACTGAGGGATCCAAATTAAAAACTACTAAGGTTCCTTGATTAACATCCTTCTCTGATGGATTATCCTAATGTAGTATAGTTTGGGGAAAATATAAGGGAAACATGTTAATAGAAACAACACAGTGGCAAAACAAATTATTTGGGGAATAAAAATGCTCTAAACCTTGGGAATTGAGAAGTGAATGTCAATTTTTCTCCGTCTTAGTGGCTTGTTCTGTAATGCACGCATAGCTGTTCGAGCAGCACGAATGTCATAATAGGATATCATCACAAAGCCACGATGTTTGCATGCTGTATACAGAGTTCTAATATCACCATATTGCTGCAAAAAGGGGAAAATGAAGCAGCTGGGTCAGAAAAGATAGGAAGTGACCAGTAGTTCTTGAAACGCATCAGAAAGCTAAGTAATACAGGTTTGCATCAATAACCATTGCCCAACATTTCAAAGTTCCATTCTAAAATTGAGGACAATATAGTTACAACTTTAAATTGCTCCATGCAATACTTTTAACTTGAAAAAAAGGAAAGTTACCAAAATCGGATTGATCAGTCGAATCCAGCATCTAAAACCTGCATTTCTGCTTCTATGAGCAATGTATTACAATTTCAAACAATGCCTATATGTAAGAGATAAAATAATGAAAGTATTTCCAAAAGCAGAATGCCCTTAACACAGCAGCCCTAAGAAGGTGACAAGGAACGCCATCAAAAAGAATTTTAAGAATTAACTACCTCAAAAAGGGCTCTTAGTTCTGAGTCCTCAACATTGCTATTTATATTCCGAACAAATAATGTCCTTGAAGGATGTTCTCCGTATGGATGTTCCCCAGCTATAGTTCCAACACCATTTGGAAGGCCGTGATGGGGCATGCCGTTTCCAACAACAGCATCAGAAAAACACACTTTTGACATACCAATGGTCAGGCTCTCTTGTGGATCAGTTTCCAGTTCCATACCTCCACCACTACCAAAAAGATCATATTCCTCTAGATCCTCCACAGAATTAGGCAACCCACTTAAGTCAAAATCATCCATTATGCCTGCTAAAAGCTCATTCTCATCATCAGGCAAGTTTCCATGTGCATGAGCTTCAATGTTCCCAAGTGGATCATCGCCTTCCCCATCTTGATGTAGGTTATTTAGATCAGAAGTGACGTCATCAACAGATTGATAATTATTATCTGTATCATTTAAGTTCACTGTATGCGGTAAAAATCAGGTCAGCCTTTCCTTAACACAGAATATAGACTTTAAACACCTGCTGAAACTTACATTTTTCATGTGGAAGAACAGGCAACGAGCTAGAGAAAAGGGTAGCATCACTTGAGGCATGGTAAACATCAGAACCAGGTAAAATCCCCCAAGCCCTTTCCACTTTCTTAGGTTCCTTTGTCGTTGGAATCTTAGTAGGATCTAGACCAAACATGATTAATGAGACCAATTAAATGAGAAAACACAATTCGTATATTGGCAGCGTAAAGTGAACTACCTGAAGCCGAAGGTTCAATGGACTGCATCATTGCATCACCTTCTCTGCCAATAACAAGGGACAAAAACATACATCAACCTTACAAGACGTTCAGCATTGCATTCTTGACAACTAATATTACTACTAAGAACAGCAAGAAACAATCTCAAAATTGTTCTGAAGGAAGCCAGGAAAAGTTAAATATAAAGTCAAAATCAACAGCCTGCATAATTAACTCTTAAAGAACCTCAAACCATGACACGTGGTAAAATAATATCACAAAATATCCTGATCCTTAAAGCATAAACATAATTAACTCTTAAAGAACCTCAAACCATGACACGTGATATAATAATATCACAAAATATCCTGATCCTTCAAAAGCCTAAAAGGGTTAAATACCTCCAATTGAAATTCAAGTAAAAGTAAAATTCAAAGGTCTCATCTATTTTTTTATCTATTTAAAAGAACCAATAACCTAAATTCTAATTCCAAAGTGAGACCAATTCCAAAACCCAGAGTCCGAGAAAAAAAGAAGCAAAATAAAGATAATAAAAAGGGTCCAACCGGCAATCAATAAAAAATTCCAAGTATAACAGCTAAAAATTCCGTGTTTTGAGAAATAGTACTACAATAGCAATCAAACTACTCTTTAACATCCAATACACAAAAGACAACTATCATCCAAGGACAAACTCAAAAGACAAACAAAACCCAGAAAACTTCTTAAAGAAAGAGGCTTACTTTAATACCAATACTCAAACTTACTTGCTCAAAAACAAAAACCTAATTCACATTAAACCCAAAAAATAAACTTGCTTCAAAATTATTCAAATAAAGTCACAAAAAATCACCAAAACAGCAAATTAAATATAAAACAAAAAATAGAAAAATAGATTACCTTAATGATGTTCAAAGTGTGTGAAAAATTAAAAAGAAGAAATAATTAACTGATTTTTCCTCAATACAAAGCTCCCTGCCACGATCACATGCAAACAAACAAACAAACAAACAAGAGAGAGAGAGAGAGAGAGAGAGAGAGAGAGAGAATTTGAAGTAAAAAGTATTTTTGCTTTCTCTTTCCCTCTTCATAAGACTTTAATGGGTTTTTATAAATAATTTTTAATTTATTTTATTGAAATAAAAATAAGTCCTTTTTGTAAAATAGAGTTGATTGGACGGGTGGAGCTAAAAGAGCAGAGAGAACGATTGAAAGAGAGAAGAGGAAGAAGCATAAATTGAGGGAATTGTGTTGTGAATGTGGGGAATTTAACTGTATTTAAATATGCTTTTGGGGTCCGGAAAGACGTTCGATAAAAAAATTATAAAAAAAATAAATTATTTTTTAACTCTGTGGTTAGAGTTGAATCCAATCTTTGACCTCGATGTTTACTCGGAATTGCATTATTGCCATTTAACTTGAGGTTGGTGGGAATGATTAACTGTGATAGTGGATAATATAGATTATTATATTTATAGATATTTTATTTTTTATGAATTAAAATTGTTGTTTAAATAAAAAGTGAATGTTAATATTAATTTGATATAATAAACATGTTGGTTTAAGTGATAAATAATTTGATATCGTTTAAGTATGTTTTGCGTTTGAGTTCTTGTGCATGCAGAAAATCTTCGTTGGGAGACTCACGTACCAAAACCAAATGTACGACTCAGATCAATTTAGATTAATCAAAACAAAACCTTAAGAACGAATAACGACTAAAAAAATATTAATTTGACATAATATCAAAATTATCCTCAACATTTATTAAAATAGTTATTTTAATTTTTATATTTTTTGAGTATTCTGATTCTACTATTTTATTTTGAAACAAAAAGTCTCATCGACAAAAATGTTGAGATGAAGATTCGAAAAGAAATGGTTTATATAGTCATTGGAAAAATTATTTCTCTGATAGAGTGTAATGAAGCATTTGGTATCTTTTGAAAATCGATCGAAACCCGCGACTTCAACCTCTTTATCTTTGTTTTGGCCAACCACGACAATAACTTCTATGAAAGTACAAGGATGAAGGTATGGTTTAATGTCGGCATGTTTTTCTCGTATAGATAACTCAGCCAAGAGTTATTGGTGGAGACTGAGGTTTAATGTTGGTCTATTTTAATGGCAATAGTTTAATCGACAAGGATAATTGCAGTAGAGTGGAAGATTGTTGACGAAGATGAAAAACTTGAGAAGACTAGATATTTTTTATCTTTCGAGAAAAACGTCATGTCTTTCGATCGTCTTCTTCGAATATTATAGATTTCTCCCTTATTGAGGGGAAAAAACAATCAATGGCAACACATGATTTTTTTTTCACTGCCTTGTATTGGCACTTTTGTCAATTTATATATAGAATGAAATTATTAGTTAACACACGATTAACGTTTTAAAATATATATTTTAATCATAAAATAGAATATTAAAGGTTAAAATGTTCCTAAAAAATAATAATGTAAAAAGTGGCTATTTAACCAATGTTAAGAGTCTTTTTACCTTAAAATAAAACATTGGGAGTCAAAATACTCCAAAAAAAAATATAAGCCAAATTGATCGTTTTGGTGAACGTTGTGGGTTAATTTTAACATTATGTCTATTAATTCTTACATCTATAATTTAAATTAACTTTAATTTTGTAGTTAATTATTTGAATTTGAAATCTATAATTTAAGTATCAAAAATCATATTTTTGAACTTTTATTTATTTTTAAGTTTTTAGAGATTATTAAATGTAAAGTTAATATCTAAAGATATTTTAATAGTCATATTTTAAATATTATAATGATACTTAATTTAATGCATATAATAAATGAATTCGGATTTAAAATAACTTATTTATGAATTTAAATTTAATTTTTTTAGAAAATAATAAATATCTAAATCATTATCATCTCTAACTATGATGATGACGTGGATATGACAATACTTGCACTTTAGGAGGGGAAAATAACAAAGTTTTAAAGTAATTTTAAAAGCTTATATTATTTGATAAAAAATTGAAAAGTAAATTATAATTATTAGTATAAAAAATAAATAATTCAGACTTTTATTTACTTTGACACGTAAATTAAAAAGTGGATAACGTGTTCATTAAAAAGGATGACGTGGCAGGACCAAATCCGTAGATAACCACGTGTGTGTTCACACTTTGGGCAAGTTTACAAGTCAATAATGTTTATCTTTCTTGATCGGATCAATTCATATTATTTAAAATATTGATATATATTATATTGTATAATATTTCTATCTACAAGTAATAATGCATTAATAAAATATTTTATAAATATTTCTGAACGATATTAGAAGTTAAATACACTCTTCAAAAATAAAAATAAAAGATAATTTGTAAAATTCATCACTCAACTTTAATCTTACTTCTATTTTAATCACTAAACTTTTAATAAAAGAATTTAATAACTCATTTTTCACATTACTCGTGGTTTACCCATTTTACCGTTAAATCATAAATGGTGTGATGATATAACATAATATTTGATGACGTAGATTATTTTCGCTAATGTGAAAGCCATGTGTTATCTACTTCATTTTCCATCCTTTTTTTTCATTATCTCCGCCAACTACTCATTATCCACTATTTGGGTTTGAAATTTATAAGCGAAAAATTAACAAAACAAGATCAACATAGATAAGATCACATATAAGAAGTGAGATTTAACGTGATTTGGTGTTTTCTATCTCTACGGATAAGAAAAATAACAATCTACTATAAACATAGATATCACGAAGAGTACAAATATATGATTTCTTATGTATTCTAAAACCTAGTGTATCTCAAATCACTATCGCGATATCCTTACAAAATTTATCTCTGTAACGTAAACTCTAAAAATTGTAAATATTATAAAAAGATTACATGTCTCTAAATCATCTATCTCTCATAATTCTAAAGGTAATACATACTATATAGAGTTAAATATTTGGTCACAAAGAATCCCTATTCAATAATAATTTTTACTAAATAAAATTAATCGCCAAATAATCAATAGTAGAATTATAACAAAACCCAAATAAATTTATAATTGGAATTTGAGTCAGTATCAACCAATCTCTCCCTTGACACAAATTTCATTAGAAAATTGGAATTTCAATTCTTACATAAAGTCAAATGTTGGTTGAAATCTTTGCTGTAAAGTCTTGAACAATTTTAATTCTTTTGTAATATTCATCAAGTATTGTTGGAACGATTGGGAGTTACTCACCTGCAACTAAAAATTCAATGCAGTAAAACTCCTCTTATTTTGATTGAATCAATTGTTAGATATGACTCAAATTCTTAAACTTAACTCAATTCATATTAGTACGATAATCAAATATGATTTTACCTTATAAAATACTTAGAATTCAGTATCCACAACTATCTTGAATGATGTACTAATACGAGCTTGATAAAGTTTGACTATGTTTGACATCTCAAAATCAACAAACTTTTATTATTATATTCTCAAATCACACATTATTGTATACGAGTTTTTAAAGTGTCTAAATACAATCTTCTAAATATACACTCTATGAGTAATTAAAATAAAATCTACAATTTTTTAAAGTTCTAATCAATTATTTTATTACCTTAATTTTGATCTTGAATAATGTCCCTGGAAAACTTGTCACATTATCAAAAGGCACATTCTATATAAAAATTAATTCTCACGTGGCACGTCTTTTTTAAAAGGTATCATTAATTAGTAATATTGTTTTAATGTAATTTTAATAAATAAAATAATAAGAGTATTATTCTTATAAATTGAGATATATATATATTAAGAGAACATCATTTTATAGTATATTTTACTTGTACAAAATATCCGGCGAAACAAATATTAGATGAATGGTGCGGCTGCCGCACTTTCTTCCTCGTTAGTCCACAACAAAATGAATAAAGCTTCACTTCTGTGTTCTTCAATTCCAATATCTTCCCCGCCAGCCTATTTTCACACTTGTCGTCCACTAACACCTCCCATTAGAAGCCGTCTCTCTCGTTCTCTCTTTGCTTTCTCTTGTCTCCGCTTGTCTTTGAATCGTCTCCGCGGTCAGCGCCATGACCTCCCTCCTCTGCAAAGCACTGGTAAACCTTGATTTTTTACTTTAATTTTCAGCAGTTTTGGTTCAATTAGAGGGTTGTTTACAATGGGTTTTGCTTGTTTTTGTTTCTTACTTGGATTATTTGTATTTTATTTCTTTTCAACCGTTGTGCATATTCACATTAACTTAGCTACTTCAGCTACTGAAGAAATTATTGAAGCTAGCAACAACGTGTCTGGTTTTGTTGAAATTAGGTACATATCCAGTGTTCATGGGATACAGGGAGAGCTTTGTATAAAACCCAACACTGATTTTCCTGAACTGCGGTTTTGCAAGGTAGGACATGTTCTTAAGGTTATTATTTGCCTTTGCCTCAACTTAATGTCTGTAATTTCCTTTTTTCTTTTATCATGAAATAGATTCACTTTCAGGCTGGGAGAAGATGGTTAAGGCAACCAGTTCAGGTAAAGAAGCAATTAAAGAAGTAGAGCTTGTTGAAGGAAGGGAACATCCTGGAAAGAAGAGTTGGATACTTAGCTTCAGTGGGATTGAAACAGTGGATCAGGTGAGATGATTAGACAAGTTTGTTCTTTGTACTTCTTTACATCTTAATGAAAGCTTGCCTCTTTACTTTGGATATCTTTGATTTTTCTTTGCCTGCTTCCATCTTGATAAGTTTTGTTGTTCAGGCTAGGCAACTTGTAGGTTCAACTTTATTGGCTGAGGAAGAAGACAGGCCACATCTGGAAGAAGGTGAATTTTATACTCTTGATCTTGTTGGAATGAGAGTCATTCTCAAGGTGATGTACTTACTGGCTCAGTAGCCCTTGATATTCCATATACAAATCTGGAAACTTCCATAAAAGCATCAATTTTCTTTTCACATTTCAACACACCTTAACTGTTGAATTTGCCTTCTAAAGCCTCTTATTATAGTAATCACGGTAATAACCGATAAGTATATTGATTTATCTGTTCTTTTCAATTCTTTCTCATACTTTTAGATTGTTTATTTTGCTTACGATTGGTGAGGCTTAATTTTAGAATTTGTATATATCGCCTTCTTTCAGGAAACTGGTCAAGAGGTGGGGACAGTTGTTAATGTTTTCAATAGTGGAGCTAATGATCTGTTACATGTCATGCTCAAATCAGCTGTACCTATGCCTAATGGAAGTGAGGAGTCATCTAATTTGGCTGAAGTTAGTGATTCTGGTCCCCTTGTTTGGGTACCGTTTGTCGAAGAAATTGTTCCTAATGTTGATTTGAATAGAAGAGAAATGCTGATTACTCCTCCAATGGGACTCCTCGAGCTAAATGTACGAACTGATGAGAGGTCCTGGAAAGAAAGGCGCCAACTTGTAAGCTAATATTATTTTGCAATCTACTTTATTCATTGTTTCGTTTCTTGCACGATTCTCCAAAATAGTATTCTGCTTACTTATTTTCTTGTCAGCTGGACTTTCCTTTATTACATTTTCCTTCTGCTCTTGTTCTTCAGTATATTATTAAGCATATATATATATATATTTGTATAGAGTACATTGAAATTTTGAGATTTATTTCATATGCTCAGCTTCTCAAGCTCTTCCATCTATTCATGATGCCGCCATACTTTTTCACAGTTCATGTATTTACATGTTTGTATCAATCAGGTTCATGTCTTGGTTCTTCTGTCGACTTCTTTTAGGAATGGAAAGAAAGAAAAAAACTTTCAAAAGCGGTTAATAGCTGCAAAAAGGAAATTGATTGAAATGGAGCAACAACGTGTATTTCATGGGTTCGGATTTGGAGAGAAGTCACAAGTGAGCCTAATTGCAGATCAGATTGTCAATGTCAATTCCAAATTGCTTCAGCAGGCATTGGAGAATGTTGAGATAGCTTCAAAGAGGTGAAGCTTTTATATATGTATATGTAGACTGTAGTGTATAAACACATTTTTTCTCACTTTGCACTTATCAAACTTTCATTTAGTTGTTGAATAAATTCATCACCTGTTTCAAATATGGTGTCAAAAACCCTGTTTGTTTTCATCTTAGACTCCGTTCTGTTAGAAGGCATTCTCTGTACTGTATAAGCGGTGATGATGATCTACAATGGTGCTTAAATTATTAAATTTTTATCTCTATGTTGCTTCTTGAATCAGATGGAGTATAATTGAATCCCTCGCTGGAACTAAGCTAGTGAGAAATAGATTGGAGATATCAGAAAAAATGCTTTACTCCATCTACAAGTGAAGAGAAGCTGGGAATAAATTTCACTTTGCACGAAAAGGCACTTCATATTGTTTCTAAAGGAAAAGTTGTGGTTGTTTTAGATATGAGTGGCCATAGGAATTGGGGAAAAGACTATGACCCTGATCTCGGTTTCTCAATGAGCACAGAGAATTCTTAAACATCCTCCCTTCATACAGTGCTTTCTGATGATGAGAGGCTTGTGAAGGTGGTACAAAGATAAGAACTTACGTTTGGGAAAAATTTTAGTTTTTCAGTTACTGATTCATGCGACTGAAATTTTCATTTATAAGCTACTGCAACTGAAGCTCCAATTTATGAATATTAAAACTTATTGCTCGATGCTTGCAGGTAGAACATCGTTCATCTACGCCCGCTGATTTTGATTAGTCCAGCTGATGAAATCAATTCTACTAATAAGCTGTTATCAAGTAACAATTATTTTGGATTTGACCCTGAAAAGGTCAGTGTCATTGCCATCGATATCTTGTGATTTTCTTTTCCGCTTTGGGTTGTAGCCTTTGAATGACTCACTAGGCAAAACACAAGGTGCTGAGTAAAGTTATTTGTAATGCTCATTATAGGTTGTAGGTTTTGCTATCATATGTCAGTGTGGATAGCTATAGTTTTCAGAATGTTCCTTTTCGTTGTTGTCCGCATCCGGAGTGTAAATTAGAATTAAATGAGAAAGTTTTGCTAGCTATGCGTCTACTTCAGGAATCGGGATCTGATTTTCAACCAATGAAATCTCCAATGGCACTTACTCTTTCAACATTAATAATACTGGTTGATTCCAACTTCTGGTTTTGGTTGAATCCCAATGTTCCCAAACGATTTTCTCAATTCTATTTTCAACTCTACTAAGGTGCATGGTTTTCCATGGCTATCGTCTTCTTGATCCGCTAACAGTTTGCCATTGAATTCTTGAGGATTCGGAGATCCCTCTTTGATAAAATCCATAATGTTGGGATTTCACCGGCTAGGCCCTAGCAGTCATGCTTGTAAATTTGACGTAAATAGGAATTGACTATGATAGATGTGAACTGCTTTTATCCAAGTGTTTGATGAATATATGTATACTAACACCTTTATTTACCCAACCAAATTACAGGTTTGGTTCTTGGAAGAAGAGAGGCTGCCGGCTGTTAGCAGTTTGCTGGAACAAAATAGGCATAAGATTTTGATGAAATCACCTTGGGAGATGCTGCAGTCACCAGTTGGCTCTGGAGGAGTCATTAACTTGCTTTCATCAGACAACATTGTGGAGAATCTTTCCCAGAATGGCATCGAGTATATTCAGGTTAGAAGCTTTGTTATAGTTTAAACCAGTTCAGTCCGTTTTCCATGTTTTCAATGACAGACTAAGGCTTTTAAACTGTTTTATTGATGCTTACTCTAAACATTTTAGTCATTTGTATTTGCTACCAAAATATCATAAGAGATTCTTGAATCAAGTCCAAAAGCAGGTTTTGTTTCCACGAGTTCAAAGTTGCACATTGCTGATTTTTTTCGACTGTAATCTAATACCGTTTACTGCCTGGGATGGTGCGGTCTATAATATTAATTTTTTTCCTTACTGCCATGGAAGCTCAAGCAGGTGCTCTTGATGTCGTAGCTAAGTTTGGCGCAAAGACTGACTTGAATACAGGTTATAGTAAGGTAAGTGAAATTATAGCTCCCTTTAATACTACAACTGTGAAAACATGTGTAAATTATTTATTAATCTATTTTGTTTTAGCCATTGTTGGATGCTTGGAAAGAAGCTTGTGGGTCAACGACTCCATCAACAATTGTGATTCCTAAAGGGACATATTTGTTAAGTCAAGCAACGTTGGAAGGTCCTTGCAAGGCTCCTATTGAGCTTCAAGTTCAGGGCAATGTAAAAGCACCAGCCGATCCTAAAGCTTTCATGGAGCCTAAATGGGTAGCTTCCTTCATGTTGAAAACTTCAAATTGTTTGGTGGAGGAGCTTTCGATGGACAATGAACCACTGCTTATAAGAGAGAAGGTTGCGAAAAACACGACTTCTGTAGTAACCTCCCCATCGTAACGTAAGGTTTCTTACCTTTCACAAGAATTTGATATTCTTTATAATAGTTATTACTTTTTTTTTCTCGTGTCTCTTTTAACTCTGAAATTAAACAGAATGTAAGGTTTGATTATTTAACAAATGCAATGATACAAGATATAACTATAAGAGATAGTAAACAATTCCACGTTAATGTTTTGGGATGCAAAAAATTACTTTCGAACGTCACTGTATCCGCACCTAAAGATAGCCCAAACGTAGATGGGATTCATATCAAGAGATCAGATCGGGTTAAAATTATAAACACAAATATCAAAACTGGTGATGAATGTGTTTTAATTGGGGATCGTCCCTAAAATCTGAACATCACGGAGTAACTTGTGGATCTGAACATGGTATCAGTATCGGTAGCCTTGGAAAGTTTGCAAATGAAGAACCAGTTGAAGGAATTAAAGTGTTGAAGTGCACTATGACTGATACTTCGAATGGTGTTAGAATCAAGACTTGGACAAGTCAAATTTTTTAGCACTGCATTGGATATGCATTTTGAAGATATCACTGTGAAGAATGTTAGTTGCCCCGTCATGACTGACCAAAAATATTGCCCATGGAATAAATGCAAAATGAATGTATGTACATACTTATTGAAAACCCAATACAATGAAAAGAGTTAATCAATCATCTAACTAGTCTTGCAGCCAGAATCAAATGTTAAACTAAGCAACATCAGCTTCAAGAACATTTCTGGTACGCTTCCAAAAGGTGTCAAACTCGTTTGCAGTGCTACTTTTCTATGTAAAAATGTAGAACTCTTCCACATTAATAATATAATTAGTGGACTAGATGGATCTACAAAATCTGAATGTAAAAATATTAAATCAAAAGTTACTGGCAAACAAAATCCAGCTGCATGTTCTACTCCAGTACCAGTAAACACTACTCTTACGGTTTAAATGTTAGTTTACAATAAATAAACAAAGTGAATGTAACTCATATACCTTTTCATTTTATATAAATACATCTATTTCATTTTAATCCTATGTTATTAAGAAACTTTTATAATAGAATCATTGTTTTAAAAAAATATACTTGAATTGGAAAAGAAAAACTATATGATAATATTTTAAGCATTTTGACTTATTTATATTGGCATTATATGCATCGCATGTGTATGTACACGCTATTTATTTTTATTTCAAGTAAAAAAGTTAAGCAATCATTATTAAAGCTATATACAAATATACAAGGCATCGCATTTTAATTTTTGATGGTATTCTTGTGGTGAATGAGATTATACAATGGCGAACGAGGGAAGTGACGCTGGAGGCGTGATCCTAAAGTTGGACTTCTCCAAAGCTTATGATTTTGTAAGGTGAGAGTTCTTGTCATGGTCCTCGAGAAAATGAGGTTTGGCTTAAACTGGAGAAACTGGATGTTAGGATGTATATCTTCGGAGGATGTTTCGGTGCTGGAGAATGGCTCGCCGACAAAGGAGTTTCGCATGGGTAGAGGTTTACGGATTGGGGATCCAATTTCACCAATTTTATTCATTATAGTCGCGGAAGCGGTGCATCAACTCCATATTAAAGCAGAACGATGTGGAGTAATTTCTGGAATTTGAGATGTTTTACCAAATCATTCGTTTTACCACCTCCAGTTTGCCGATGACACGATATTGTTTATTAAACTTGAAGATGATGTTTTAACCAATGTGAAGAGGACACTGAGATGTTTCGAAATCACCTCTGGGTTGAGCATTAACTTTAAAAAAACTCGTCTTCTGGGAGTGGGTGTGAAGGATAATGCGGTTAAATTCTTAGCCAAGTGTTGTGGATGCAAGGTGGGCAACCTTCCTTTCGTGTATCTGGGGATCCCTCTAGGAGAGGATCCGCGCAGGGTGTTGACTTGGGCTCTGGTAATAGAGAGATTCCGTTTCTTAGAGTTAACGAAGACCTCGCACTTATAACATATTTGATCCAAATTGGGTTGATGTAGACCTCGTAGAACACAAGATACAAATTCAAAAGAGTGGATTGTTCATGGAAAACAGAAAAGTGATAACATAGATGATATTCGTGGTAAAGAAAGCGATTATGGTAGAGAAACTTAGGTTAACGAAGCAGGTTTTGAGATGGTACCTTGCTCCACAAGTTTCCCCAAGTGCACCGTTGCTATCATGTTCGCTGAGTCGTCAACCAATGTGCCACCACCACGGTTGTACTATTGGCCATCACTTTTACCAGTGTTTCTTGAACAATTCTTTTCGGTTCGTCGTTCAAGTCACTCATAAGTCATAACTCATAATCTCATCGAGGAGGATTTTCGGGCTCTTCAAGATGGCTCTTGCGATTGATTTTCTTCATTTTGCCCTCTTGAAAGTTGAATTTCATACTCTCCCACCATGAATAAGAGAAAATCAGACATGTTGGGAGAGCATGGAACTCAACTTTTTTTTTTATGAGAGCAAAAGCAAAGAACGACGATAGGAAGAGTCACAGATTTTGGCGCTTGTCTTTCTCCGATCACCTTCTGACATGTTACCTCTGTAAAATACCAACAAATATGTATGTAGTTCAATTAAACATGTAAAAATTATTAGTATTACTAATCAAATATAACTACACGGTACGTATATGTATATGATCAACTCGAAGCAATATTTTCCATCATAATTATACCTTAGGTCCATTATCTGTTGGTCATAATTAAATGAAAATTCAAATACAATCTATTAAAAGACTAACCATGACTGAATCTTTAAAATAAAGAAACAATAAATCAAGCAATTTCATATGAAAGAACGTTTCGATCAAATAGTAAAGATTTCAATACATTTTATTTTTTTAATATTTCAGTTTCAAAATTTTGTTTAGCAGTTTTCAGTTGGTATTTCAATGATACCATTGCTCCCACATGAAACTACGAAAGGAAAAAATCCAAAGTGAAAATTGTTTTTATATAACATTTGAGACTGTTTTAATGGCATGGTGGCGATGGTTCTCGCCGTTTTCAAGAACACATCCAACGTATTGATGAATTAGTATAGAAACTTCGGTTAACAAAGCTGATTTTTAAGATAGTACCTTGCTCCACAGGTCTCCCCAAGTGAACCACTTTTATCATGTCCGCATTAGTGATAGTCATCGATCGATATGCCACCACCACAGTTTTTCTAGTTGCCATCACTTTCACCATATTGATTCTTAAACAGTTCATTCCCATTCAACATCCAGGGAAATCATAGCCTCATCGAGGAGGAGGATTACCACGTTCTTCATGACGACTCTTGTTATTGCTTTTCTTTGCTTTCTCCCTCCTGAAAGTTGAGTTCCATGTTCTCCCACCGTGGATAAGTGAAAAATCAGACATGTTGGAAGAGCATGAAACTCAACTTTCATGAGAGCAAAAGCAAAGAACATTGATAGCAACAGCCACAGATTTGGACAGCTGTCTTTCTATGGTCATCTTTCGAAATGTTACCTCTGTCTCTATAATATACCAACAAGTATGTAGATCAATTAAACATGTAAAATTGATTAGTATTACTAATCAAGTGCAACTACACAATAGGGAATATGTATATAAACTTGAAGCAATATTTCCCACGTTAATTAAATGGAAAATCAAATACAATCTATTGAAAATACTCTTAATGCATTCTTTAAAAAAAAAAAGATCCGGTAATTTCAGATGAAGAACGTTTTGATCAAATATTAAAGATTTTGATACATTTTATTTTTTAAGATTTCGGTTTCAAAATCGTTTAAATAAAATTTTGGTTTCAAAATCTTGTTAAACGGGTTTCACTTGGTATTTCAATGATACCATTACTTCCACATGAAACTATGAAAGTAAACATCCAAAGAAAACCGGGAAAGTTCTTTTGTATAACCTTTGAGATTATTTTAATGACATGGCGGCTATGGTTCTCGTCGTTATCAAGAACACATCCATCCTATTGGTGAATTAATATATAAACTTTGATTAATAAAGCTGGTACCTTGCTCCACAAGTTTCCCTAAGTGCACTACTGCTATCATGTCCGCATTCGTCATAGTCATCAACCGGTGTGCCACCAATGCGGTTGTACCATTGGCCATCACTTTCACCATTGCTTCTTGAACGATACATTTCAATTCGGCATCCAAGGAACTACAGCCTCATCGAGGAGGAGGATTCTCGGGTTCTACACGACGACCCTTGCTATTGCTTTTCTTTGCTTTCTCCCTCATGAAAGTTGAGTTTCCATGCCCTCCCACCATGTGTAAGCGAAAGATTAGACATCTTGGGACAGCATGGAACTCAACTTTCAAGAGGGAAAATGCAAAGAATAGCAATAGCAAGAACAATAGAACAACAATACATCCAACCAATCTGCCATTGTTGTTGCTGTTATCTTTTGCCGCCATTGCCTTGGAAGGTTAAAAGAAGAACCATAAAAGAAGGCGAAAGAGAGAGGAGGTAGAGACGCAGTTAAATAGGGAAACAAATTCACAAAATACGACGTTAATAATTTTTAATCACTAACATTATCCTTATATGTTATAAAACTGAAATATTAGTCATTAAATTTTAATTTATTACAATTTGGTTCTTATACTTTATAAAAAGTTGAGACATTAGTATAGATTTTAATCAACAGTTGAACTTAAACCTTTAATTTATTACATATAATTTTTTAATTATTGATTAAACAGTAATTATCAGTATAAATAATGAATAATAGCTCGAATACGATATTAAAATATTTAAAGCGTGTGTATCAATTTTTAAAAACACAGCACATCTATTACATTAACATCTTAAACATGTCATGTTAGAAACAATAATCTTTCTAATTATTAAAATCATCCGCGGTGGCCGTTACACTGATTTTTGGTATGATCATTGGTTGGATGGCAAAAATCGGTTAATTTTCTCTTACACAGGATCAGACTCTCCCTCTCCAACCCCTGTCTGTGCGATGATTCTCTCATCGGGTATGTGGGACTGGGAAAGGCTTTCGAACGTTCTTCCTGAAGCCATCGTCCAACCGCCTCTTGAGCGGTTGGGTCCAGATTCCCCCGGATGGCGATGGGAATCCGATAGACGTTCTACCACTAACACGGCGTACATGTCTCTCATGCAGCAGGAAAGGGTAGGTACTGCCATAAACCGGAAATATTTATGGAGTTTGGAGATTCCTCAACGAATAAAATTTTTACTTTGGTTAGCATTACAAGATCGTTTGCTTACGAATGTTGAAAGGTCACGACGATTATTCGCCACGTTCGACGAGAGCAAAATGCAGCTGCAGATTTCTTGGCTGGTTTGAGTCGAGGAGCATCGATTGGTACCACTGAGTTTTTGGAGCCGCCGGAGGAGATGAATGATATTCTGCTAAAAGATCTGAATGGGACAAGCTAGCTTCTAGTTTTCCTGTTGTTCTGTTTTAACAAAAAAAAAAAACAAAAAACATGGTTTTTTTTTCAACATGTTTGGCACAAATTGTTGATGCAGAAGATACATACCTATTTATAATAAGATGAAGTATACGAATGATTTATTGATTATAAAGTGTTTTTCTTAAGCTCATCAACTATTAAAAGTTAAAAAATTAATGATCTTTGGACTATAAGATATTGCTTTGTTAAATTCTTTGACTATTAAAGTTACAAAATGGTCACTCGACTATTATATGTTTCAAACTCGTCATTTTCTGTTAAAAAAATGACGGCAGTCTAAGCTGGGCGTTAATATGATAATTGGAATATGATAAAATCTGATCTCAAAATCTCAAACGACTATCATATCCTTGTCAATATGTTAATGTTTAACTCATATTGTCGTCAACTTTTTAACGGAAAATGACAAGTTTGAAACATATGAATAGTCATGTGACCATTTTATATCTTTTAATAGTCAAGGGATTCAACAAAACAACACACTATAGTCGGATTACCATTTGTCTGCTTTACCCTTAAAATAAATCAAATGCTTTAAAATTTGGATTGAAATGTGAGAGGGACAAGTATAAGTTTGAAACAAACATGATCTTAAAATGTAATTAAACTGTAAAAATTAGGGGATCTAGGGTTTAGAGACGATGCGATCGGTGCCTGCCGGAGTGATTCTGCTCTATTCCGACATTAGTCGCAAACGTATCGCCGGAAATCCGTGATTGACATACTTAAAGTTTGGAGATAGGGAATGAAGGTATTGGTCATTGTAGCATAGGTAAAAATTTACTGTAAATTTAAGTTGATTCCGTATGAAAGTACAGTCATTTCAATCCAATATCCAATGACCCAAGGAATACACTATTCAAATGAAACAGAGTTTTTCAATTTTCATGTTCATCATTGTTTTTGATTCTCATGAAATCAAGGTAACCCTTGCCGTTTAGTTTCTGAGCAAAAAATTCCTTGAAGTACTTCTCCAACGGGACTCGTCGAAAAATCGCAGGGTTATTCGGAACGATAAGGCTATGTGCAGGGCCTAATTCCCTGTCTAACTTGGAGCTATAAAACGTTGCAATAGATAGCCTCTGTTTGGTTGAATTCACAACTGCTCTATGCTCAATGCTGCGGTATATTCCATTGCTCAAAATCTGCAGAGAAAAAGGGCATTCGAAGTGAGCAATACTATCTGCACGATGCCACCATCGCTTGGCCTAGAGAAATAACAGAATGGATACCTCCATGATGTCTCCGATGTTAACTACGAAGGCATTTGGAAGTGGCTTAATGGGAATCCATTTCCCATCTTTCCGGACTTGCAGGCCTTCGGTTTCGTCGAGCTGAAACAGAATCGTTAAAGCATCGGCATCGGAATGAGGACTGAAACCGATGGTCATATCAGGTTGAGGGCACGGTGGATAGTAATTCATTCTCATTGCTTGAACCCCATCATCGAACATCGCTCTCATTTCTTCACCATCCATCTTTAAAGCCTTAGCCATGTAATCCAAAGTCCTCATAGCTAGATTCTTCACTTCAGTACAATATACTTCCATGATCTCTCTGCATCAAGATCATGAAACTGTAGGATCAAAAACACACTTACAAACAATACTTTTTATCGAAATATCGGTTTCGAATTTCAATACCTTAGCTTAAGGGGAGTTTTTCGAATAGGTCAACCTTACGAAGATCGAGTGGTAACGTGGTATATAGAACATATCAGACCAATCTAGCTTCTGATCTTCTGAAACCACAAACAATTGACCAAACCCTTCATGATCATCTGGTGTTTGCCAAAGAAGCTTCTTATCTTCATGGGGTAGTTTGAAGAAATTTTCAATCTCCAACTTGAACTCATCCAATAATTTCAAACTAACACCATGATTCACTACCTATATATTAAACAAAACACTAGCTGTAACAATTTCAAGCAATACCATTTACCAACAAGTAACTGAAGAGTAGTAAGTACTATGGCTTACCTGGAAGAATCCCCAGTCCTTGCAAGCTGAGTGTAATCTTTCGAGTTCGGAGCCGATGAAATCGTCGGCAGCCAGTTTCTGAAAATCGATGATGGGGACAGATGGAAGGTGATAATCGGAAGGGATGGAGGGAGATTCTTGATGAGGACGATGGTATCTATGTGGGATTTTGGAGAGGGGTTCTTTGGCAAGTTCTTGAACACTTGGAACTATGAGAGATCTCCCAAAGATGACAGGCTCTTTTGGCGACTCCATTGATGCAGAAGGCTTAGGTTTGTTGCTTTCAACACCAAGGTTTCAATAATGGAGAATTAATCCAGAATAGCCTACTTGAATTAAATGATTTTAGAATAACAGGGGCTAAATAAAAATTAACTAGGAGCCTGTGGAGAATTAACCCAAAGTGAGTTAGCGGCTTACTTTGTCCCGTGCAAGTGCACGCCAGCTTTTTTTAGCGATTTCCTTTTTCTCTTCATTTTATCCTCTAAGCCATAACCTACCACCGCCTCTAATTCACCGGAGTTTCACCGCCGTTGAGGTCCGTGAATAACGACTCTTCGTCCATGTCAGAAGAAATAAATTTATACGCAAACCTCCATCTCCAAGGACATCAACAATATTATAGTCAAATTATCATTCTTGTCTTATAATTTTGTGCATCGTTTAAAATCCTAAATTATAATGATAACATCATAATTGACCATAAATTATAATTATAAATTATAAATTTGAATCATTGTTGTTAACATGTCAAGTCATTAATCTAATGAAAAATAATGTCCTGGTCATTTTATTTATCAATAATTTTAATGATCAAAACATAATTTTTACAATTTTAATGACAATTTTTTTAATCTTTTAGTGACCATTAATATAATTTATCCTAGAACTTATTAGAGCTAATAAAATTTAGAGAAAATAACCTCAGTGACCAAAAATCCCATATAATATACGATTTTAACCAACTTTTTCCGGATTTGCCAAATGACCAACAAAATCGCAATGCGATCGCTAATTCGCAACGCGATCTCCATTATCGCAAATTCGCGTTGCATTTTCGCAATGCGATAGTTGAAAATCGCGTTGCGATGGTCTACAGTATCGTTGCGATTTTCCAATTCGCAATGCGAATAAGTAAATCGCAACGCGAATTGGGAAATTCGCAATGCGAATAAGTAAATCGTAACGCGAATTGGGAAAATCGCAATGCGATACTGACTATCGCAATGCGATAATAAAAAATCGCAACGAGATACTTACTTCGCAACGCGATACTGACTTTCGCAACGCGATTTACTTAGCACCATTCGTATTAACGCGTATTTTTTTTTCAAATTCCAAACACGTATTTTTCTTAATAAATCGGAAAATGAACCGTCCACAGTAATCGCACGCAACTCATAACCTCAAACCCAAAAAACACAACACTCAGTCCCATCTCCATCTCTCACTCTCTACGGCGAAATCCGTCCCATCTCCGAAGATTTCCGTCCCCATCGCCGGCGAATCCCTCACAACCATTCACAGTCAAAAATCCCTCACAATCATTCAGAAATGGAAAATCAACCTCCGAGGGTTAGTTTTTTTTTATTTTTATTTTGAAATTTTTGCATTATTTTAGGTTTTTCATATTGAGATTGATGATAAGTTTACTGGTAATTTCAATAATAGATTAACCATTTCACTTAGATTTCTTATTAAATTCATTCGATTGCTGCCAATACTGCTAAACTGTTTAGCCTGTGAAGTTAGTATTTGTCTTTGCTTTGTCTTTTGGTTGAAGTAATGCAGAAGAAGAATAGTTTCGAGAATGAGAATCGCAACGCAGAAATGACTATCGCAACGAGATAATCGCAACGCGAAATAAAAATCGCAACGCGAAACCAAAATCGCATTGCGATTTTCATTTCGCATTGCGATTTCATTTCGCGTTGCGATTTTAATTTCGCGGTTGCGATTTTCATTTCGCGTTGCGATTCTCTCGTTGCGATAGTCATTTTCGCGTTGCGATTCTCATTATCTCGTTGCGATTTCATTTCAACCAAAAGACAGAAACAGTGTTGCAAATTTTAGTTTCAAGAATAAACTACTATTTATGTTTATTGTTTTGTTTTTGGTATATCTTGACAGTGTAATTTTTGGTATATCTAACTTGGTATGTTATTGTTTTTTTGTAGAAATTTTTTTCGGCTTCATTGACATTAAGGAATAAAGTTAGCCTAGCCACTACAATTGCTTCGAAGCTTTCACCTGCACAAAGAAAATTGTTTGAAGAAACCTGCTTCGGGCCATGGCTGAGAGTACAACATCCGGGTGGAGATGCTAGTTTGACCCATTTGTGGCTTCAAACCATGACTAGCGATCTACCTGACAGTATACAACGTGGTGAGGAAGAGATATGGTTTCATTTTCCACCGGCGTATACTTGTTTTGGGCGGAAGGAGTTCTGCTTAATCATGGTCTACGATTCGGACACGATGATGTAGGCCGGTACACTCGTCATATCACCGCCCATCATGGTTATCCAGGGTTTTTCCTGATGAGTCAATAGAGAAGCCGAACTTACACGTCGACGACATGAAGAAATTGTTTAATAAGAAAGATGGTTTTACTCGGATGAATGACGTCGATGTTGTCCGAGTATGCCTTCTACTACTTTTGTATGCCGGCTTTCTAGGCAGAGAGGCCAGACAACCTATTCCTCAGGAGCTAATATTATTGGTAGAGGACCTAAATGCATGGAATCTGTTTCCGTGGGGTTCGTATATGGAAAGCTACCTGGACTAAGTTGTCATCTGCCTTTGATGACCGCAAAAGTTTGCGGGGCGATGGGTCGAAATACACTTTGTCAGGCTTTGTTTGGGCCTTTAAGGTAAGAATTTCTATATAATGTTTTCAAAATTATAATTAATTATTTAACAATTACTAATGTTTGTTATTATATTGTTTGTAGATTTGGATATTCGAGGCTTTCCCCAGCATGCAGACATATGCATTAAAATCCTCAGATGATATTCCTAGGGCTATTTCCTGGAAGAGGAAACGTATGTTGGATTGGGAAGACTTAATACCATATGCGACAATAAATAATGTAAGTTAACACAAATACTATATATAAACAAGTTATTAATAGTAGACGTTTAACTTGTTTTAGTTTTTATATTATTAGGAGGCCAACACTCCATTAATGAGACTGACACCCACGGAGGCTGAGCTTGCCACTGATTGGTGGCAAGCTAGTCAGCGTTTTTTTGATGGCACGAATGATGAGCAGCCTCCACTTCCTCCACTTCGAGAGCCATCACCTCACCCAGAGCCATCACCTGATCGACCCGACTATACACCTCTACAACGAGAGCCATCACCTATCCCGTCACATCATCGAGTCTCTTCTCCACCATCACCTCATGATAGGCGACCGACAAAGATGCCACGACTTCTATCTCTCTGTTCTCCACCTCCACGGGATGAGTCAAGGGAGTTACGTGATGAGGTCAATGCCTTGCGTGAGGAGATCGGTACTCTACGCGATAACGATGGTGCATGGCGTGTGGAGGTGTCTACTTTACGTGGTGAGGTTGCCGCTCTACGTGAGATGGTAGTATCGTTGCAGAATGAGGTTCATACTCTACGCAACGAGGTAAGTTTAAGATTTCCATATTTAACTTGATGATAAATTTACTCGTAATTTCACTTAAATTAACCATTTCACTTAGATTGCTTGGCAAATTTATTCGGTTGCTGCCAAAACTGCTAAACTTTTTACTTTAACACTGTGAAGTTAGTATTTGTCTTTGTTTTGTCTTTTGGTTGAAAGTTTGAAATATATTATCTTTGTTTTCACTGTTTAAATATCATGTCTGTTTATTTACTGATATTTGTATTTTATTTAGCGGACCGATAAGGTGGATGCTTTACGTCGGGTTTTTCTTGCACGACAGAGTTCACGCATCAGACGGCGTGCACGTGCTATTAAGTCTCCGTATACCCCAATAGTGCGAAGACACCGCAAAAGAAGCCCGACTCGCCTATCATCCCTCAAGAGTCCATCCTATCGTTGAAGAGGCCCCTATCATTCCTCGAGAGTCCCCTCCCACCGTTCAAGAGGCCACTGTCATCGTTGAAGAGGTCCCTCCCACCATTCAAGAGCCCGATTCACATGGCGTCATGTAGGATTCTTGAGAAACCCTCTGACGTGCCGGACATGATGGATTCAAGTTGGCTCTCGTATGAGTTACCGGCCAGTACCATACCGGTATCTGAAGAGGAGAGGAAACAACTACGGACACAATTCTGGATAACACCCTTTGGGCTAAGACCGCAGTTGATTTTTATCTACACGAGCGAAGCCAGGGGTGTTTCACTGACATATGCAAGCTCAATGATGATATCTATTTGTTGCTTGATCGGTCTTGGTGGGCGTATTATTAGGGGTCGAAGACAATGGCTATTTCGATGGAGGGGTAAGTCTTATATTTTCTTATATTTTCATTTGATTAATTTGTTTAAAAATTAATGTAATTCACTAATATGTATTTTTTTGTAAAACAGCATATCGATGCGTGGGTGTCACGTCTACTAATAATTAGGAAACTTAAGGAAAATAAAAGAAATACACGGTATACAATAATGCCGACGGTTTTTAACGCAGTTCACTTGAAGAATCAACGAGATGAATCATTTGCGTTGGGCAATGGACAAGCTAAACTTTATCCTGCATGGTGGGAGGTCGATAAGGTTAGTGTTTATTTTAGATTGAGTTTAAAGGTATTCATAAATAAGTGCGCAAATGAATGAATTATTACTTATGATTGCAGGTGTTTATCCCTGTTTTGGAACGTAACCATTGGCTTCTCGTCGAGCTTCAGATCACATCCCTTAAGGCAATAGTATATGACAGCATGATAAATTACATATCATTGGCTGATTTAAGATATTATTAAGGGATGGAGCTCTAATTTGGCTAAATACTTGGATGCGATAATTATTGGACTCGTTCTGGAAACAAGAAGCCAAAGAAGCTCAATATTACAGTTAGCAGAGCGAGACCGCACCACAACACAACGAAAGGACCCAGAGGGGATTGTGGTCCTCTCGTATGCTTGGCGTTGGACCGTTTGATCACAGGAAGTATAAAGTATCTACCTCCCACGATAGATAGAGCTGCAGTAGGCTTGTGGTTTCGACATTATATGGCTAGATCGATATATACGAGACGCTGCCTACCTGCATCCGCGTTATAAAAATGTCCATAAACAATTGGTATGTTTATAGGCTTGTGGTTTGAAAATGTTTGGTTAAGTACCTAGAATTCAATAATTTGCTGTTTGTAGGTTTAGATGTGTAGAAAGTGTTGTTTGAGCAAATGTTTGGTTTATGCAGGTTAATCTCAGAAGTGAGCTGCGTGAAAATGATGTATGGCTGCAAAGTTGATTCAATAGTAGAAGTGTTATTTTTCTCTAATAATTATTGCTATTTTTGATTGTTTAATTGATTTGTAAAAGGTGATTTGTAAAAGTTGATTTGTTTAATTGATGTTAACATAATTCTTATTTGTGCTTGTTTACTTGATTGAAAGTAATGGTTGATTTTGTTGATTTCAATATGCATTATGTTGAAGGCAAAAAGTACTATCGCAATGCGAAATGAAAATCGCAACGCGAAATTAAATTCGCGTTGCGATTTTCATTTCGCATTGCGATTCCCTCGTTGCGATTTTCATTTCGCATTGCGATTCTCTCGTTGCGATTTTCATTTCGCATTGCGATAGTAATTTCCGCGTTGCGATGGATTAAGAGATTGCCTATTAAGTGATAACAACTGGAACAGATCATAGCAATTTTCAAACTCAAGTTACTAATACTGCCTAACTGAAAATGTTAACAGTTCACACAAAATCTACATAATACACGTTTGCATTTAAAAATCACCTAAGTTAACAGACCCAAAAGGTGAAGCCAGTTGTGATTGGGATTTTAAAGATGATTGCGATTTTGATTGCCTTTTCTTGACACCATATGAGCTTTGGATTTTGATGATGATCCATATTTTGGTAGAGGAAAGATGATTGTGATGGCACTGGTGATCCACATGTCAACCTTGTATGACCATTTCCTTGCACCGACTACATGTCGATCTCTTCTTCTCTTCACCCTTAGACGTATACGATCGGACTTTTTGGTCGGCCAGGTAGCCTTCTGTCCATGGTTGGTGGCAAAACTGTTTGTAAGTCATCTGGTATGTCCCACTCAGAAGGATGGAAATAGGGTAGACAATCTCGGCATAAGTCTGTCGATATACTTCTGTAGTGTAGCAATCCATAGCGTATATGCTTGAATCATCTTGGTTAGATGAAGAGCAACTTTTATAACATGGCCACATGGATAACCAGATGTTTGCCATTTCATACAACTACACGTCCTTGCATTTAGATCGACAAGCCCATTTAAGTTATTATCCAGTACTTCAAACAAAGTGTTTGAACATGGTTCAACTCTCCATGACGTTGACTTCACAACACGTTTCGTTATCTTTTTTCAGTCCATGGTGTAACACGATGTTCCAATGTTCCTGTAAATTTAAATAAATAATACTTAGTAAATATATCCCAATGTTCCTGTAAATTCAAGAAATAATACCTGCATGGTTTCTTTTCTTGTAGTACCACTGTTGATAGAGGCTCGAAAAACTCCATTAACATAGTAATGGGTAATTTCCGGGAATGAACTCAGAGCGTTAATTGATTCTGCACTATTAGACGTCATGAAACCATATCTTGCTCCAAGTTGATGTACTCTTGACCATCTTTCAAACCGACATCTTCTAGTGTTTGAGCACACTGAGGCAAAACACGTCTTAAACAGTTTATATGCGTATTGAAATCACTTCCCGATAAGCCTTTACAGCCTTCCAGTATGTCTATTGTGCTTTTTTATACCAGCAGACCTTGATTTTAGATTTCTATACAAATGAACACCACAAAGTCCATGAAAAGCATCTGGGAACACCTTCTAACAGCGTTGTCATTGAGTTGCCCTATCGGATATGATTCGATTGCTAATAGGACCATGCAATCCCTAAGATGCCCCATAAACCATGTCCATGAATCAGAGGTTTCAGATTTGCCAACCCCGTAAGCTATTGGCAATATCCCATTGTTAGCATCATGCTACTGCTAATAAGTTTACTCCAAGGTATCGACCTTTCAAATGCTTCGTCAACTATAATAACTGGGGCATGCAAGTAATAAACGAACGAATCTACAAAATAAT